CATTAGTATTAATTTGATTTTGAATTAAGTTTTATTATAATTATCAACATCCATGAACTATAATCTTTATTGGACTATTTCGAATTCTATGTTTTAAACTTGAAATAATATATTAAAAGAAAAAAACTATGAAATAGTATAAGAAATGTTTTAAAATTATATCAAAGTAAATATTTTTATGAATAAAATAAAATTTTAAAATTACATATATAATGTCTGGTTGGTTTGGTCTCGGGTTGTTTTTTTCTAGTTGAAATCAAACCAACCCAAATATAGTCGGGGTTTTTTTTCCAATACCAAACCAAGTCAAACAAAATCACTAGTCGAATTATTTTTTCGGTTTGACTCAATTTGCGGTTTGGTTCGATTTTCGGTTTGATTTTGTACACCCCTAATACCGACCACCAAAAATTGTGAATGGGGTAAGTATTCTTTCATCATCTTCACTTGAGCTCCGACCGATAGTGAAATAGTCTTTTGATCAGGGGCGGAGCTACACTTTTGTTATGGACACCCTTCGTCAGAAAATTATATCATATATACAAGTAAAATGATATATTATAAAGTGGTTAAATAATATATTCTGAACTCACTTGACATAACAATGTGTTGTGTTCATGTAGTTTCAAGCTCTTGAAAGAGCCAAGACTCGCAAACTTAAAGTGTTTGCGTGTTCGAATCTCACTAGCAGGCTCACCTTAGCAATGCAATTTAATTTTAATTAATTTTTTTCACTTTTTAAAAAGAGCAAGGTCAATTTTTGAAATTTTTGACTCCGCCACTACTTTTGATAGGAAGTGTTACTGTTACTTTTGTAAACAGTTTCTTAATCTTAGTTCTCATGTTTGTTCCAAAGTAAGTGTCACCTTAGGTATTCAGGATAAAAATTTCTATGTTCTTTCAATTATAGTCTTATACTCCATCTTATTAATAATGTTCAATTTTCAAGAAATACTTATTAAATATGGATGGTTTAGTAAACTACTCCCTCTGTCTAGCAATAGTTGTTCACTATTAACTTGACACACCTCTTGATAAAACTATAAATAAAAGGATGATTTTACTATATCACCTTTTGAATATAATAAATTGTTTGACATTTATTTTTAGTATAGTGGACAAGTATTGTTGAACGGAGAGAGTATACGTTATATTTATTAATTTCTGAATGAATGTATTTTTTTTCTAAAGTAAGTTACTTTTGGACAGAAGAAATATTTGCTATAAAATATTAAAATACATATTTATTAATATTTAGTATTAAATCTTAGACAATTATTTGTAAAATATGTAATTAACAAAATATAATTATTATTATCAATTTTTTCTTCAATTTGCTACGATTTGCAACAAGGTCCACAAAAATGTTGTGTGGATAGGTCAAACACGGCTACGTAATAGCACGTCTCCAGAACATTCCAATACCCATTAAACACGTTCAAATATTTCCCTTGATTGGTCAGATTTAGAAAAAAGAACATTCTAGAAACGTAACACGCACACAAAACGCCTAACCCGAACCCATTATATACTCTTTCTCTTCCTCCTTCTCTTCATATCTCATTCACTACTTTCTTCTTTCTTCACAAACCTCATTTTCTCTTTTAGCTCTCTATTTTTTTCTTCTCTGATAACCGTCGCCGTTTAAAGCAATGGCCGGAAAAGGTGAAGGACCGGCGATCGGAATTGATTTGGGGACTACGTATTCTTGTGTCGGCGTTTGGCAACATGATCGTGTGGAGATTATCGCTAATGATCAAGGAAACAGAACTACACCATCTTATGTTGGATTCACTGACACTGAACGTCTCATTGGTGACGCTGCTAAGAATCAGGTCGCCATGAATCCGATTAACACCGTTTTCGGTAAGCTTTTGATTTTCCGATCTAATCATTTCGTATACAATTGTTGTTGTTTTGAGTAATATGCTTCTTGATGAGTGGTATATCTAGTATGTTTGTGATTTGTTGCGAGATCGAGCCTGATGATCAATGACATGATGTGATTCGTTTAGCTTGGTTTGTATAAGTCAGTATTATTTTTGCGAGTACCTTATCAGTCCACAATCACGTACAAAAATGAAATATATGTGGCCATGTCCAGTAAAACGGAACTGCATTGTCCTGATCTCGAGTCTGAATTATACTATAATCTGTCTGGTGAATTAGTTGAGGGGTAGGCAAGTTGATATGATATTAGTACTATTAATAAGCAGTCTGGTATATGAATAGTGGAATAAAAACGTGTTGTGAGCCTATAAGCTCGGCACTGGTGCTATGAGTGAATTAACCATGCAATCTGACATGAGATGAGAACATCTTTGTTATTAGAAACAAAAAGGATAAGATCGATCTGCCTTGTACATCATTGAGAATTTGACTGAATGGAGTGCATCAGTGTAAATTGGTGTGTGAATTTAATTGGATTTGTAATGTAGGTCTGGTCACTGCCTCACTGGTGTGACAGATGTTGATTCTTCTTGGTGATGTTGAATTTGATATTGTGGCATTCTTTTGTTTCCTTAGTTGCTTAGTACTGGGGATCGTGGGATTTTTGGCATTATTTTTATCTGGAAGTATATCATTGCTAGACGTGCAGTGTTTATATGATTTCAGTTTTGGTATACATCTAAAGCTCACTGTGCTTTCAATTGGCAGATGCAAAGCGGCTTATTGGTAGGAGGTTTAGTGATGCTTCTGTACAGGAAGACATGAAATTGTGGCCTTTCAAGGTTATTCCTGGGCCTGGTGATAAGCCAATGATTGTAGTTACCTATAAGGGTGAAGAGAAGGAATTTGCTGCTGAAGAAATCTCTTCTATGGTGCTGACAAAGATGAAGGAAATCGCAGAGGCCTTCCTTGGATCTACTGTGAAAAATGCTGTGGTGACTGTGCCAGCCTACTTCAATGACTCACAACGCCAGGCTACAAAGGATGCAGGAGTTATTTCTGGACTAAATGTCATGCGTATTATTAATGAACCTACAGCTGCTGCCATTGCCTATGGGTTGGACAAAAAGGCTACTAGTGTAGGTGAGAAGAACGTGCTTATATTCGATCTTGGTGGTGGTACGTTTGATGTATCCCTCCTCACTATTGAAGAGGGTATCTTTGAGGTGAAGGCCACAGCAGGAGACACTCACCTTGGAGGTGAGGATTTTGATAACAGAATGGTGAACCATTTTGTCCAGGAATTCAAGAGAAAGCACAAGAAGGATATCAGTGGTAACCCGAGAGCTCTAAGAAGATTAAGGACAGCTTGTGAGAGGGCTAAGAGAACTCTCTCTTCCACTGCTCAGACAACAATTGAAATTGATTCCCTGTATGAGGGAGTTGACTTCTATTCTACCATTACCCGTGCCAGATTCGAGGAGTTGAACATGGATCTCTTCAGGAAGTGTATGGAACCAGTTGAGAAATGTTTAAGGGATGCCAAGATGGACAAGAGCACCGTTCATGATGTTGTTCTTGTAGGTGGATCCACTAGAATTCCCAAGGTGCAGCAGTTGTTGCAAGACTTCTTCAACGGCAAGGAGCTCTGCAAGAGCATCAACCCAGATGAGGCTGTTGCCTATGGTGCTGCTGTGCAAGCTGCTATTCTCAGTGGAGAAGGTAATGAAAAGGTCCAAGACTTGCTGCTTTTGGATGTCACGCCACTTTCTCTTGGGTTAGAAACTGCAGGTGGTGTGATGACTGTCTTGATTCCAAGGAACACCACAATTCCTACCAAGAAAGAGCAGGTATTTTCCACCTACTCTGATAACCAACCCGGAGTATTGATTCAGGTGTTTGAAGGTGAGAGAGCAAGAACCAGAGACAACAATCTATTGGGTAAATTTGAGCTCTCTGGTATTCCCCCTGCTCCTAGGGGTGTGCCTCAGATCACAGTCTGTTTCGACATTGATGCAAATGGTATCTTGAATGTCTCTGCTGAGGACAAGACTACTGGACAGAAGAACAAGATCACAATTACCAATGACAAGGGTAGGTTGTCAAAGGAAGAAATTGAGAAGATGGTCCAGGAAGCTGAGAAGTACAAGGCAGAAGATGAAGAACTCAAGAAGAAGGTGGAGGCCAAAAATTCATTGGAGAACTACGCTTATAACATGAGAAACACAGTGAAGGATGAGAAAATTGGTTCTAAGCTTAGCTCGGATGACAAGAAAAAGATTGAGGATGCCGTCGATCAGGCAATTTCATGGCTTGAGAGCAACCAGCTTGCAGAAGTTGATGAGTTTGAGGACAAGATGAAGGAGCTCGAGGGCATCTGTAATCCCATCATTGCAAAGATGTACCAGGGTGCTGGTGGTGATGCAGGTGTTCCTATGGATGATGATGCTCCACCATCTGGTGGCAGCAGTGCAGGACCTAAGATTGAGGAGGTTGATTAAGCGGTTGATAAAAGATACTAGTAGTTGGTTTCATTTTCATTAGTATAGTTTAGTAGATTACTTTGAACTGGCTCTTATTTCAGGTTTTGTCTTGTGAATTTCATACTGATGTTTTTAAATAGCGATACTGAGTCTTGCTGTTTACTACACTCTTTTTGGATTATTCGAACTTAATTTTTTTAATTTTTTCCTACTTACCAGGAACCAGGAACAAACTAACTGGCCGAAAAGACAATTTGATTCTGCCAAAACTATCAAACAAAAGCAATAACCTGGAAAAAAATTACGCTAAGTCTATCATCTTATTTTAAAGCAGATACTTGTTGGGAGTCTTGCTGCTGCAATTTAATAAGTTAAGCATGCCTAATAATGAGTTTGATTCAAAACCATGAGTTCTCTCGTTAACATATTTTTTTCCCCATAAACTGCATAATATGGCATTGCTGTTGTTTTTTCTTTAGCTATTATTGCTTTTGAATAAGCAATTCAAGTACAAATCAAAGGCCATTGATCCGTAATTTTCAGGTACAAATCATGGCTTAGCCCCTCACCCCACAACTTGGTGGCTTTTGATCTTAAATAAATTAGTTGATATTGCTGGAGCTCATGTTCTCAGAATCCTTCACTTTGAAACATAGTTTATAGCCGATGACAACAAACATGTTAACTGTCCGTAATACAGCAAAACCAAATGAGTGAATATTTATTCATAGTTAAAAGGAAAAAGTCATATCCTGCCTACACTATTTGATGGTTCATCAGAACTTCCCCAGAGAGAAGGGGAAGTTTTGAAACATAGTCATAACCAGCTCTCTAAAGCTATGACATGGTAAGGCTTTTTATTAAGTTCGAATGCCTGCTAAAATGACACACCAACGCACAATACTGTAGCTTATGTTGTACACAAGCAATTTGATACAAACTACCTTCTTCCCCTGTTAAGCCTTTGGAGGTGATAATTAACGCTACCCCAAGGCTTTCTGTTTTTGCCCTGTTAAAAAAGTGTATCACAGCTCAATGTTAATGGGGGAGCATATTAAACCATATGGAGTACTATTTGTGGCAAGCAAATGAATAAAACCATTTTTTTTTTCTAAACAGCAATGAAGAATATAAAGTAAACAGGGTTTGAGAATATATACATACCTGAGCCTCCATGCATGCACTTAAAAGTGATTTTTGCCTGCTGCATTTATCGTCCTTGTTATGATTTAGAGTCAAACAATTAAGAAATGTGACCATATCCTTCACGCAAGGTTTTTGGAGACTTCCGAAGTTCTTTGGGTTTATGAATAAGGTACCGGCTTTGCGGCCCATCCTTCAGCAGTTCAAACTATAAAGTATAAAAGACAAGATCATGCTTGGTATAGCAGGAAATAAGATCTGCAGGGGGGCTAATAGGAGAAAATCACAGGTAAATGCAAGCATCTAGTGGAGTAGTCATATAAGATTACAATCTTTCTGGGAAAAAGACGAGCACAACGAACTATATTTTCAGAAAACAGAGAACACTAATTTCACTTAGGTTTGCCAAACAAGTAACGCTCAACGATTAAAAGCAACCTACAAACATGTGCACGTAGAACAAAATGAGATTTGGTGATAGTAATTTTACCAAGTATATAGTATGCCCACATATCCAGAAACAAAACCATTCATTTCATAGCCAAAGTTTAGTGCTGGATGCCATATTTAACTTGTGTGAAGGCAATAGCTATTAGGCATTAGCTACTTGCTACCATTGTCAACACAATAACTGCAATCCAGCTCTGATCAGTCCCTTAAGCCACTAAATGTATCTTTTCTTAAACCTTTCAGTCCCATAATTGTCCTCCCTCACTGAAATGACAACGAAACTTGATTCCTATTTTACTTTTCGAATTGGCATGAGGTATTAGAAGAAACCATAGCTTTTTGTCAAAGCATTACCTGTTATTTGACATAGTCACATATAGTGGCAAAGCAAGGGTTATTTTGACATAGTCACATATAGTGGCAAAGCAAGGGTTTTCACAGGTGTCAAAATATGAAAGAGTAAACCCACAAATAAGACGAGAGGAATCAATATTTAGTATATAAACACAAAAAAAAACTCTTTTACCTAAGGGGTGTCAACCATTGTATGGGGAAAAACTTATCATTATTATCTATATCGATTATCAAGTTCTCAAATGTCGTATTTTTTTTGTTTTGATAACCGAGAGTCACTGGCACATATATGGGTCTGCCCCTCTACCCTTCTTCACTTATATAGCAGCCTTTTGCATATGTCAGGATTCAAACTCATGACGAGCATCTAACCCACACATCACTCTTACCACTAGACCAAAGCCCTGGGGCCTCTAATGTCCTATCTTAAACTCAATATCCTACATGAATGGACTTTTTTTGTTGCAAGAGGTAACTTAATTCAATGCTGTATAATTAATTCTTAAATTTGGAATGTGCATAAAATAGAATTAGTCTTTTGGAGTATCATGACAACAAATTTTATAATTTCCATTCCAGTACTGAATTCTAACAAGGATTACCACCAGAACACTATAAAAATAGGACTTATGGTTCTCTTTTCTCCTAATTATAATCTGTTTGCATTTGGGTTAGAGAAATATTTTTTTTAAGAAAAACCAGATTATACATGTCACATGTTTGCAGCCATTATCGCATAGAAGCAAATACAATATACAAATGCAAATTAAGTTGTAAAAATTAAGGAAACTTACAACTCCAAATCGATCGCCGGAGAAAAAGATATTCACCACAGAGGAGATGGAGAAGGTTCGCGACCGAGGGAGAAGAAAGTAGAAACTCAGTGTGTAAATTACAAAATGGGCCTTAAAACGGGCCAAATTAGAGTTTCAATTTGTAATCAACTTTATGGATGATTTTCACAAATATCCCTGTTAATCGAAAAACAACTTTCACCTATAGCAATAGTTTTTCATAATTGCGTTTCATAACAAATTTTATGTTTGTTATAGAACTTTTGATTTGTATAATTTGCTACAAACATCCAATTTTATATAAATTGTTCAGTTTTGTATAAATTCATTTATACATTGTAATTTGTATAATAAGATCTGTATTTGTATAATTATAAGTATATAGGACGAATATATATATATTTGTATTTGTATATACACTTTTCTCTCGCTTTATACAAACACAAGCGCATTTTATACCGAAATGTATAAAATGGCTAATTGTATATCGAATCAGATGACAAACAAAGGAGATGTTTGCTGCGAAATTACAATTAAAATAAACTATGACTATAACATTTAATTTGAATTAATAGTTTGTTATTTCATACAATTTTTCCTTAATTGAAACATAACCAACATTTGTAAAATATTAAGTAAAAACAACCATTAAATTTTAATGGGAAAATTACGCATATAAGAAAATATATACTAGTTAATTAGTTAACATAGCTATAGTTTACCTTTATCAATTCACGACCTACTTTTAGCTATAATAACGCGGCTCAACTTTTTAATTTTGTATAATTTGCACGTTTGTATAGTCCGAAATTTGTATAATATAATTTATATAATTTTTATATAATTCAGAATTTGTATAATATAATTTGTATAACTATTTACACTTCTGATGTTTGTAATTGTATAAATTCGTTATTTCGAGTTTATTACAAAAAATAACTGAATTATACAAATGTACCCGCGAATTATACAAACGAGACAGCTTAAACTGAAGCTACAATCCGTAAATATGTAAACTATAGCTATGGAGCATAATTAAGTTTATTATAGTTGCTATTTGGAAAAGTTCCCCAATTTTAATTACCTCCTCTTCTTTTGTGCTTGTTTTACTTGTTACACAGATAACAAGTCATTTGTGGTTAATTCCAAATATTTTAACACTGGCTATATTATAATTAGCAACCCTAAAAGTGGCTATCCAGGAGTATCACAATATTTTTATCACTTTTATCAGAATAAAATTCACTAATAATCACTCTTTAACTCCTATAATTGAAAAATAGCCAATAACTCCAAGTTTTAAATACCCTTTTAAAGGAAAAATTACAGAAATCCCACATTTTAGATTACTTATTACCATTATCCCTTATAAGTTTTATAAATTTCCAAAATCTCTCATTTTCACGCATCAGATTAGTGTATCTCGCGCATCAGATTAATGTATCAACGCTTATATTATTGTATCTCGTGCATCATATTAGTGTATCATGTATAAAATGTACATCAGATTAGTGTAATGTATTTTACTTAACGATTAATGTATCTCGCGCATCAGATTAATGTATCAACGCTTATATTATTGTATCTCGTGCATCATATTAGTGTATCATGTATAAAATGTACATCAGATTAGTGTAATGTATTTTACTTAACGATTAATGTATCTCGCGCATCAGATTAATGTATCAGCGCTTATATTATTGTATTTGTTGAGGATTTTTGTAATTATAAATTTTTAAGGGATAGATTGTAATTTTGCCTTAAAAGTATGTGATTTCTGTAATTTGCCCAATTTTAAAAGTAAAAAAATTGACCATTGAGCACTATATCTAATCCTTGTGTATTTTAGAAATTTGTGTTTATATACAAGCCCAACCGATAATTATGACCCATAAATTCCAAAAAAAATATTTTTTTTCTTGAGAAAAGAACGAGAATCATTTATTAGACTGTCACAAATGGGCTCACAAAATTTGAAGTCAAATAGACTCAATCAGATATATTCCTGAAAATTCATGTGCTAATACACATAAATATTCAAGAAAATCCTGATTTTCTGTTTTCTTTTTTGTCGAATCCTAACATCCAAACTAACATAGGCGCAAATATTTTCTGATCTATAAAATATTTATCAACAAAAAATTGGATTGAATTTTATATAATGTATACCTTATATTGAAATAAGCTAATTATGTCAATAACATCTCGACTTGATCAATACTATTTAATGAAATCGAAGTGGTAGTAATTAACTTCGCAAATGTATAACCAGATATATATTTTATCAAAAATCCTAGGAGAGAGGATTAATAGCCATATTATAAAAAACATATGATTTTCATTTTTAATACCCAGATAAAAAGTTACATTGTTTATTATTAATGATCACTTATTTATGAATTTTATGACCTTTTGGCTTTTGCTTTTATTGATCAAATATGCATTTCGGATCCAGCTCCTTTCTATCACGCTTCCCTACTATTTTTCCAACTTCACATTTAGATGAAATACATGTTTCATATTTTATTTGGTTCAAATTATTAACATAAACAAATGTCATAACTATAATAAGTGAATAAGTTTTAAACTAATACTCATTATATACTCTCCCAATTTTGATAAGAAAAAACTGTTACTCGCGTGCTCAAAAATATCATTAGTTTCAAATCATATTTTAGCAAATTTGTTTTAGTGAATTATGGTGTCACAAGTTCAAGTTCATTGACTAACCTATCTGCTTCTTCCTTCATAACTCACCAATCCCACTAGCAGAGAAAAAATCCAACTAGAGAACTCACATTGGACTTGGAACTGAGTTATATCTCTTCTCCGTCCCATCGAGAAATTGAATTGACTAATCCAAATGAAAGGGTCAAAAAAACACTTATTAACCCTTTCATAATGTCAACGAGCCCAAACTTTTAAAGTTCTTGATGATGAAGAAAACTAATTTAGGTTAATATTGTTTGGCAATTTGTTTTTCTAAACCCTAATAAGGAAAAACCAAATTATAATAGAAATATATAGTACTACTTTATATTTAATTCTTCACACTTTAAATTCGTAAAACAATACCAACTCCACCGCAAATTATGAAATGTATTTGAGATAAAAACAAAGGTAAGGTAGATAGACAGCTTATGCCAACACTATTTAGAGAAGAAGGGTGATAATCTTCTTTAATAAACAAAATGAAACCACAATTACATTCACAACATATTGCACTATATATTTGAAACAAAAGATAATATGATCACATGTACTACTATTTTAGATCAAAAACCAACTACTACCAAAAACAAGAAGCCAACCAGATGAAACACACTGCCACCACCAAAACATCACAAATCTCAATACTAACCAACTCTTTTAATTTCGACATAGAAAGTTAAAGACTGGATTAGGTCTATCAGAAGCACCAATTCCAAGATCAGTAAAACAGTTCGCTTCCACTGAATTTGAAGTAGTAATACTGGATTGGTGATCATGAGGAACACAAGTAGACGACGACGAAGAAGAATCAGTTGTTGTAGTCTTTTCTTGTAAAACCCCAGTTGGGTGCAGTGGAAAAAGATTCAAAGTTTCTTGATTTATAAACTCCTTATTTGCATTTGTAATGTTGTTTTGTTCACAAAGATTCAAAGTTTCTTGATTACAAGTTGCTCTTCTTTTGAAACCACCTGGTCCAGGGATGATCATACTAGGATACTGCTGATAAAACCCTAGATTGTTTTGTGCTGTGTAATAAGGGCTGCAAACAACTACAAAACCTAATTCCAATAAGTTCTACTACTATTTATAATAATAATAATATACATTGATCTAATTTATAGGATTAATACTATACAAAAATGTTTTACAAAAAGTGTATGTCATAATAGTAACTAGTTTTTAACTGGTTGTTGAAGACATAGTTAGTTAAGTAAATAAATGTGTTTTTTCTACTAAAAAGATAACGTAGATTTTTAGATAAGATAGTAACACATAATTTGTACTCAAGTATTTTTCATTTTACTAATTTTATTTTGTGATGGTTATTAATTACAGTAACTTTTTAGATGACGTAGAGAAATTAAACGTCATAAAAAAAGGGGTATTATAGAGAAAAACAAGTTTCCAGGTGGGGACTACTCCTAATAGCTAGTGTGAACATAGAAGTGAAGGCAGGAAAATGAAAAGAGACAATATATGTCATCAGAAACTGAAAACATACTTAAAAAGGAAATAAAATCTGAGAAAATAATAATAACCAAACTGTCCATCAGAAAGCTATAATCTCGTATAGATATCATATAATACGAAAACCTCATTTTCTCAGCAAAAAATACATCCGAGTCAAAAGATAATATTGTTAATTACTACCTGCGTCCCAATTTATGTGTAGAGGTTGAGAGTACGAAGATAAAAACACTTACTTTCGATTATGAATTAGAGTAAGTATTCAGAAAAAAGTATTTGACTTTTCAAACAGTTATAAGACCTTCACGTAAAATGAGATGAAGACGGAGAAAGCAGAAATTTGATTACCATTTGGGCAATTAGGTGGAGGAAAAACAGAAGTCCGATGAAGAAATCGATTGTAATAAGCAAATTTATCTTGCTTCTGTTTCTGGCGTTGCCTTGCTTTATGATTTTGAAACCAATAAAAGACATTTTTGCCCTCAATGTGACCAAAAGCCCTTAACCTCCCAGTAATTTGTTGTATTTGCTCAGCACTTGGTGTCCTTATCCCTTGCTTATATAAACTTTCAAGCAAATCAATTTGTTCCTTTGTTGGATTCCATCTACATCCAACTGGAGTTCCACCAGATGTTAACATATCCACACTCATATTATTATCACTCATTTTCTAAAAAGAAAAATTAAAAGAGAGAAATACGCTTAATATTATTTCTGCATAGTTTTTAGACTTATATATAAATATATTTGGAGAATTAACAAAAAGGATTGACATGCGTATTGTTTTTGGTGCTGAAAACATGGCGGTTAGAGGCCGATAGGAGGGACTTTTCGTCTTGGTATGAATGTATGCATGCATGAAAAGACGAAAATGCCCCTATATTGGACTTGTCTCGGGAAGGAAAAGAAATGACTAAATGTTAGGAAAATGATAG